AATTTGACACCCACAGTACACGTAGAAGGACAGAGGGAAGCAGCGAATGAATAATCTACTTAAGAAACTTGTGTAAATAGTTGGCAGAACTGGTATTAGGAGTGATAGCAAAAAGAAAAAAAGAACTTATTAAGAGCTTCAAAGGACAGGAAAATTGTTGAGAGCCATAATCGCCCACGTCCTGAAGAGACACGGCCCATAGAAGAAGGAGAACGCCGCTGAGAAGATATAAGATAACATAAAGATGAGACTGTTCTGGTATCAACTACCTTCGGTGAACAAACACAAGCTGGTGAAAAAAGACACACAGCGACAACCTTCCAGGCTCTCACCTCTATTTTTTTAAAGAAAATTTCAAAAATTTTTTTTTTTTTTTGGGGGGGTCTAAAATATCTTTGTGTAGCAGCCGTGGCAGGATATATATATATATATATATATATATATATATATATATATATATATATATTTCAATATCGGCTTCATTAAACTACCAGTAAAACTGCGCCAGAGGGGGGACACTTTCTGAGATTGTCACTCTCTACGAATGTTTGCATTTGTTTGAGGGGGGTCTAAAATATCTTTGTGTAGCAGCCGTGGCAGGATATATATATATATATATATATATATATATATATATATATATATATATATATATCAATATCGGCTTCATTAAACTACCAGTAAAACTGCGCCAGAGGGGGGACACTTTCTGAGATTGTCACTCTCTACGAATGTTTGCATTTGTTTGCATAATCTTGATGGCGTTTTATTAACCTGTTGAAATGTCGAGAGAAAATAAACTTGAGATATTTAACCCATTCAGCCCGGACCAGCGCTTTACCGGTAGTAGAGAAAAATGACTTAATGCCCACCTACCGGTTGAACTGTTGTTAAACACTTGTAACTATTTTTATATCTACTGTGAAACATTACATACCAATTATTTGCGAATTTTGACACAGGAGCTCAAGCAGAAGGGTTCAAATTGTTCAAGGGTTAATATTTGACCAACAAATTTTTATATTGATTCCATTCTTGGCGTCAAACCGGTTCAGAAATATCTAAAATGTCATCTAGATATAAACACCTTCTCGGGTTAATGGCTAAAAATCCAAAGTCAGTTGCTATCTATTGTCCTCCTGATTTCCTTTTCTTTTGTTCTCGCTCCTTATTAATGTTTCCGCTTTGTAATTATTCCACACCAAGTAACCCCTTGTGTCTTGGTGGCTTCACGGTCTTGCTTGGGGTGAACTCGATGACAGAAATAAAAATAAATGGATTCAAGCGAGTGAAGCCTGGAGGTCTTAGCGAAGACCAGCCTTCTTCGAACAATTCGGACTGGCGCTATATTGTAACAAAAAAGGAAGTGACCAAATAACACAAACCACATCACTTGAGGACTACCAGTAGTAGCAACAACTAAAATGGATAGCACATGTAACTCAAAGAGAAAATAATGATGTGATCAAGATGTTAACATGTGGAATGTTAACATCTTCAAATAAAAGTCTACGAAGGAAACCCCCAACACTACTGGAAAGAGCGATAACAGCTACTGGGCTTGAGAAGAGAAAATAATGACATAATCAAGATGTTGACATTCCACACTACTTTAGACAAAAGGTTAGGAAGGAAACCCCAATTAAGAACGATAACAGAAACTGGAGAGACCTATTTCCCTTTAAAAAATGTTTTCACAGAAAGATTTTATAAATTTTCAAATGCCAGTGGCAATGGCTTCTCGTTTAATAAATGACAAATGTTTCCTTATGAGAAAATGGCTAATACTACAGATGTCATCAGAGATGAAGAAAACAGATAATACACTTTTGATCGCAGCTCGATGACCAAGGATTGAAGAAAAGTGTAACTGCAGCAACACTGGCGGCTCGGTCAACGAATGCAAAATGTTTCCTTATAAGGAAGCGATTGATATTACCATTAAAATTTCTTTTATTTTTATCATTACAAATATTATTATTATCATTATTGTGAAGTAGTAGTGGCGGTGGTGATGGGGGTAATCGTCGTGTGATTGTAGTGATAGGTGTGTTTCTTTTCCTTGGTTTTCATTGGACAGCGCCGACAGGCAGTTTACTTTGGTGTAAAAAGACGAAAAATGTGGCGACTAAGGCCTGAACCTTAAGAAGAATACGTGGGGCAGGGAAGGAGCGGGAGCCAATCACCTCGGTCGAATTTTGTGCGTGGTGATTGTCTGCTGAGGTGGGGTGATGTGGATGAGGAGATTTGGTGCGAAGTCGTAGAGGGGTGTGGCGAACGGAATGTTTGGACGGCCGGGGTTGGGAAATAAGTGTGTTCACGTCTGGCGGGAAAAAAAATGCCGGCCGATCGATTGTAACGTCGTTCAATAAAGATATAAAGATGATTCAGATAAATTTATTTATTGACGGATAGGTTGACTGAAACATAGATAACTAGAGAGATAAAGTATTTGCATATATATATATATGTATATGTGTGTGTGTGTGTGTGTGTGTGTGTGTGTGTGTGTGTGTGTGTGTGTGTGTGTGTTTTCAGAGAGAGAGAAAAGGAGCGAGTGTCTGGCTACAATTAAATGTTAGCGTACATATATATAAGTCTTAGGTGATTTGTCTATATATATATATATATATATATGTGTGTGTGTGTGTGTGTGTCTAGCTACAAGTAAATGTTAGCGTATATAATCTTTGGCGATTTGTGTTTATAGGTTTTTGTGTGTGTATATATATATATATATATATATATATATATATATACATATATATAAATAATGTGTATATTTATATGTCTATGGCTACAAGTAAATATGTTAGAGTACATATAAAAATATAAGTATATATATTATTTATGTCGGCTGAGGATGGCATATCAATAAGTACGTAGCCTACATAAAATTTCAGATCAAAATTCAACAAGTAAATCTCAGGTGACAAACCTAGTGATGTACTCTCTCTCTCACACACACACACACTCTCTCTCTCTCTCTCTCTCACACACACACGCACACTCTTTCTCTCTCTCTCACACACGCGCACACACACACACACATATATATATATATATTTATATATATATATATTCAAATAATAAGTATTTATTATTATTATGAATTTTATTCTTAGAATAAATTATAGCTGTCATGTCGTTCACTGTTTTATTACGACTAACGAATATATATATATATATATATATATATATATATATATATATATATATATATATATATATGCCTGAAATCTGTAAGTATATACATATACGTAGATACTATACACGTGCACATACACACAGATACATTCTCTATATGTATTAGTGCTTGCGTAAGTTCCACTTTGTGGTCAGATATGTGTAGATAATCAGTTCTCCGTATTTTTTCTTCCATAGATTCATATGTTTCAATTCTATCTATCTATCTATCTATCTATCTATCTATCTATCTATCTATCTATCTATCTATAGTCTGTGAGGGTTGCGTGTGTATGTATATTTGCATGTATGTATGGATGGATGAGCTTGAGTATATTATATGCATTTACATACATTCACACACACATATATATATGACACGTATATATGTATGTTCTATATATGCCCATATCGTATATACACATGTTTATATGTATACGAGATTCGTGTTTTAAAGGTCTTATGACTATATATATATATATATATATATATATATATATATAATATACTAATATATATATATATATATATATATATATATATATCGCCATTTTATTTTTTTTTAATTTCGCGCATGCGCGTTGTTTGTTTTTTTATTTTATCGACTGCACGGTTTAGTAGGGTTAGTTTTGCACCGTCTGTCAGAAAAAGAGCACGTTGGCGCTATTCACTCTGCCAGAAATTTGGAAACGACATACTGTACTGCTTGACATTCCGATACGAAGACTTCAGTATGCTTGGGTGTCAATCTGAGGACAGTGCTGAGCATTCGGAAAGAGTTGGATGAGTCTAATGATGATTAGGAAGGTGTTTGGAATGATCACTAGTGATGGCAACGTTATGTCTCCATTCATCAAACTCAACACGGAGGCCTACATCAAGTGCCTTCATAAGGTAGTGCTGCCCTAGGTCAAGAGGGTGGCTGCTGGAAGATCCTATTGTCTGTCAACAGGACTGCACCATGCAACACAGATAGTCATGGCTGTCAGACAATTTCTACGACCACATCACCACTTACCACCCCCCGACTGCAATCGCCTTGATTATTATGTGTGGGGTGCAGTTGAGCGAGAGACCAACAAAACTCCTTGTAATACCAAAGATGAAATGAAGGCAAGGATTATGGCAGCATTCACCAACTTAAACAAGGTGACCGTCCAGAAGAGTCGGAGGTGATTCCGAAGTTGTCTGGAGGCTGTGGCTGAAGCCAGTGGCGATTTTATTGAATAAATTTGTTCTTCAGTATTTCAAGTATTTTTGTGGGATTTTCCTAAATATATCTGTTAAAATGAGATGCCAGTGTTTTTTTAAATTTTTTTTAATTTTGCGTAATCTCGGCGACAATTTATCCATCGCATCCTGTATCTATCCGTGTGTGTGAGAGTATTAGTACATGGTACGTGTTAATATATGTAAGATATACATGTATATTTCCGTGTCATATATATATATATATATGTGTGTGTGTGTGTGTGTGTATCAATATTAGTACATAGTACACGCTTTTATACGTCTGCATATTTGAAATGATACAGGCTTCTACACTTGTGAATATATGTGCGTATGTAAAAGTAAACTGTAGATGTGTGAGTATGTACGCGAACTTTGGTGGTGTCAGTGTGTGTGTGTGTGCGCGCGGTTAAGATGGAGAGGCCTAGGCGGATGGATGGAGAGATTAATTAGGTCCCAGACAGACGGTTTGATGTATAAGTGCTGTAATGACAAAATCTACTTCTGTGCACTATCATTATCATAATCTGGTTTCCAGACAAAACTTCTGGTACATTCATACATACGTATGTATATATTCCTCTTTATGTACATACATACTTACAGAAAAAATATAGGGAAAGAGAGGGGTGCAGGGAGGGAGAAATAACAGACAGAAACAAAAAGATAGATAGATAGATAAAGAGATAGATAGAAAAGAAAGAAAGAAAGAAAGAAAGAAAGAAAGAAAGAAAGAAAGAAAGAAAAGGAATGAGATAAAAATGAAAAAAGAAAGAAAGGGCCAGATTGAGATAGATAGATAGATAGATAGATAGATAGATAGATAGATAGATAGATAGATAAGGACAGAATAAGAAAGAAAGAAAGAAAGAAAGAAAGAAAGAAAGAAAGAAAGAAAAGGCCAGACTAAGAAAGAAAGAAAGAAAGAAAGAAAGAAAGAAAGAAAGAAAGAAAGAAAGAAAAGGACATAATGGAATAGAATGAAAAAAGAAAAAAAGAAATACGTACATACTTACAGAGTAATATAATTATATATATAGAGAGAGAGAGTAAGAGAAAGATAACAGACAGAGACAAATAGATAGATAGATAGATAGATAGATAGATAGATAGATAGATAGATAGATAGATAGGAAAGGAAAGGACAGAACGAGAAAGAAAGAAAGAAAGAAAGAAAGAAAGAAAGAAAGAAAAAAGGACAGAATGAGATAGAATGAAAGAAAGAAAATTAAAGAAATACATACAAGAAAAAAGGCCATACTGAGATAGATAGATAGATCTAAAAACCACATTCTTCACTTTCAACAAATTCTCTTTCTAGCTAGACTTATGTAGCCAGAAACTAACTGTTAATTCAAGCTTAACAACAGGGGAGCCCGCACACCAGATACAACCTCCCCAATTCATTAAGTGGCGCGGTAATGACCGATGAAATAAGCCCGCCATGAAATACGACTTCGAGATGTGTACCGTCTCCGGTAGGTATATACAGATACCACACGCAACAAAAAACTAACCATATATCTAGTTCTTTTTTCTTTTACGGTTGTAAATTAAATACCATTCAAATTACATAAAAATTGATAAAGCTGATAATTTGGCTCAATTTTATCTGTTTCAGTATCATTACAAAATCCGCCCTTTTTATTCTATGTTTTTTAATCATTTCGCTCCAAGCAAGGTGATAAAAGCCACCAAGACGCCAGGGAGAGAGTGAACGAATGTAATTTCATCACGTTTTGTTTGAGCCGCCATATTTAATGAAACTGTAAGCAACAAAGCAAAAGAAAGTTAGGAAGCCTTATGCAAAATTTGAAACTGTTTATACGAATACCGTATGTACTCAAGGATAGTGCAGTTTTATGATTTTTTTTTTTACACAAAAAATAGGGTGTGCCGCACTATACACAGGTAATTTTTTGAAGAGGTTAAAAATCAGGCATTTACGGTGACTAGCTGCATTATACACAGGTAAAACAATGTTTTTTAATTACCAATATATACTCGTGTATAGTACGAGATTTATGATCAGCTTTTATGCAAAAAATAGGGCGTCGCACTATACAAAGGTATTTTTGACGAGTTTAAAAATTCGACATGAACGAAAGCAAAAGTATGCTATCTAAATCTTCGTATAAGACATCTTACGGTGAATGGTTTTTCTCGCAATTTTAAGGCAGCTTTATACAAAAAACAATGAAGACCATTTATTTGCTATAAAATATGTCCAGGGTGATGCCCAGTACTGAAATATATGACTATGGTAGGCCTAATAGTATTGCTCAGAAGCCGGAGTCACATTGTACTGAAGCGAAAGGGGTTGGACAAAATAATGGAAACACCTGGAAATTTCAAAACAAATTTATTTTAATATTGTGTAGGACCGCCTTTGGCAGTAATTACAGCTTGGATTCTACGAGGTATGGACTCATACAAATTTTGAATGGTTTCCAGAGGAATTTTTGTCCATTATCCTGCCAAAACAGTCTCAAGTTCTTTCAGTGATGATGGTGAAGAATATCGACTCCTTGTTTTTCTAAAATACGCCATAAATTTTCAATAATATTGAGATCTGGGGACTGTGGTGGCCAGATAAGATGGTCTACTTCACTAGAATGTTCTTCGTACCACTCAGGCACAATTTTAGCTGTGTGAATTGGTGCATTATCATCCTGAAAGATGGCGTATCACTCCGGAAACAGTTTTGCGACCATAGGATGAATTTAATCTGATAAAATTTTTAAATAGTCTTGACTTTTGATCCTGCCATGAAGAGAAATCATTTCCAAGAGATAGCACACCCCCACGATCATCACAGAGCCTCCTCCATGTTTAACAGTTGGAAGAAGATAGTTGGGGTCAAGTGGTTCTTTAAGCTGTCTCCACAAGTATACTCGACCAGATGTCGGAAATAGGGTAAAGGATGACTCGTCCGAAAAAATAACATTCGTCCATTGTTCTACGGATCAGTTCTGTAGGTTTCTACTCCATTCTAAACTTTTGCAATATTGCTTTGTGAAAGGAGAGGTTTTCGGATTGCAGCCCCCCCCCCGTGAAATCCGGCTTTGTTCAGCTTCCTTCTTTCTATGGGATTTATTTCTATTATATCAAAATTTGTCCTGTTTTCTATGCATATTCAGTTATTATGCATCTGTGTACAGTTAATTATATGACTGTAGAATAACAATAATAAACAGCACTTACCGGCGTAAGAGTCCCAGCTAGCGTCCAGCTGGCAGACAAAAATAAAGCAGGTTGTAACTTAATACAAACCCTGCAAACTAACTGAGAAATCATGCTAGTATTTATATAGAAATACTTCCACTCAGGTACCAGCAGCCAATCACAGCCCAAGCAATGGACTATCCCACTTTAGCATAATGAGATGCTCCATTGCACCATAAATAGCTCTCTTTCTCAATGTTGAATTAGTATTCACTCAGCTTGCTCCACAACTGAGTGCTTATCTTGACCACGTGATTGTTCGACAATGACAAGTATGTTTATTCATTAGTTGGGAATACAATAAATAAAAAAAAAATGTATGTGTACGAATATTTGTTTTCCCCCCCCACTGTATATCTTTCAACATAATCTCCTTCTTTTTACAAAACAAATATTTTCCATCATAATTCCCTTCCTTGTCAATGCACTTAATTCTATGGTGAATATAGGGTTATATCAAAATTTCACAACCTAATGACGAAATAACGCACTTCTTTTATGCAACAAATATTTTCTAACAATCTCCTTCCTTGTCAATGCACTTGATTCTATCGTGAATATAGCGTTACATTAAAAAGTCCACAGCTTGATGATGAAAAAACGCAATTATTTTACACAGCAAATATTTCACAACATAACTCTGTCAATGCACTTGATTCAACATTGAATATAGGGTTATATCAATAAATTTACAGCCTGCTGATTAGAAAAATATTTATTTTACACAATATATATTTTTCAACATTGGAGCTACATCAGTAAATCTGTAGCCTAATGAAAAAACGCAATTATTCTTGCACAAATATTTTCCAACATAGTCTCTTTTTTTTGGCAATGCACTTAATTCTGTGGTGAATATAGGGTTATATCAATAAGTCCACAGCCTATTGATTATAAAAAGCATTTATTTTACAAGATGAATATTATTCAACATAATCTCTTTCCTTGTCATTGCTCTTGAATCAGTGATGAGGCTATATTATTAAATCTGTAACCTAATGATAAAGCACTGGTTCTCTTACAATCACCGAAGTTAAACAACGTCGAGCCTGGTCAGTGCCTGGATGGGTAATCGCGCTTGGGAATGCCTGGTGCTGTAAGCTTGGATGTGCGGGTGGTGTAATGGATAATACCTCAGAATTGTTAATCGGAAAACCGAGTTCCAATCCCAGATCGGTCCGTTATATTCACTTATGTGCAAATAACCTTTGAAAAGGTATAAATCCACCTCTTCTGCCCCTAGCTATGGGTTAATTAGTAAGACTTGTATCACTAATTCATTATTATCTAAAAAAAAATAAAGATTCTTAAAAAATAAAAATTTTGCCTTCGAATGGTTGATGAGACGTAGAAAACAAATCAGTCAATTAGAAAAAATATCCAATGATAAAAATCAGTTATTTTGCACAAGAAATATTTCTTATTCACTATAATCTTACTTGTCAATGCACTTAATCTAATGCCTCTCTGCCATATACATCGGACATTAAGCTGCTGAATTTTCAAATCAAAATCAGTGATGTGATACTCAGAGAATTAGAAGTCCTACCAGGATTCATTATTGGCGGCCACAATCTTAACAACATTAGATATGCAGATGACATAGTGTTGATAGCAGACACAGAAATGAAAAGACAAGAATTCCTACAGAAGATAATGAGGGAAAGCGAGAAGAAAGGACTAAACATAAACTGCAAGCAGACAGAATGCATAGTTGTTAGCAAAAGGGACAGCCCAACATGCAAATTACAAATTGGAGATAGCAAAATCAAACAAGTGTAACAATTTAAACATCTAAGAAGGGTTTTAACAGAGGAAAAAAGTTTGACACTGAAATATAAAAGGGGATTGGGATAGTGAAAGATGCATTCCAAAAGCTAAGCAGGGTATTAAGAAATAGGAAAATGCCATTAGAAACAAAGAAAAGATACTTTGCTTGTACGATGATAAACAAACACATGTCCTGTTCATGTCAATATTATTATATACTTCTAAATCTGAAATTGCATTGGGATAGCGAAAGATGCCTTCCAAATGCTAAGCAAAGTATTAAGAAAGAGGAACATTTCATTAGAAACAAAGAAAAGCTATTTTGCTTTTACTGTGCTAAACAAACACTGTTAATGTCAATATGATTATACTCTTCTTTATTGCCTAAATCCGAAAGTGCATTGGAATAGCAAAAGATGCCTTCCAAAGGCTAAGCAGGGTACTAAGAAACAGGAAGTTGACTCAAAGATGGACTGGGGACGAATTTCCTAAGAAACACAGATAATTAATTGGACTTAAAAGGAAAAGGAATTTATCTACTTATCTCCTAAGGATGTGTGAGAAATCGTCTTTACATAACTGTTCAAAATTCGACCTTGCAAAGAAGACATTGTAAAAAACAAAGTTAAGCGTACATATCTCATTAAATGTTAAATTATAATAAACTGAAAAATAAATATAAGTTTTCTAGAAAATTTTAATTATCATTTTATCACAAATTATAACAAATTGTTTTGTTTGTGTAAATAAATAAATCATAAAATGTGTTGTAACCAGAAACTAAGAAAACGGAAGTACCATTTCAGCTATTGTTCAGACACGGAAGTAACGTGTCGGCCATATTATGTATGTGTGAATAAAAAGCAGGAGTATCGCTTCTGCAGACGAAAGTCACTAGACTAAACTGCGTTGTCGTTGTTATTACAGACCCCCTAACCAAGTTGTGACAAAAAGTATACTCTTTTTTTTTTCTTTTTTTATCATCATAATTTAAGTGCACCACGGAAGTTTAACTCTAGGTTCAAGTGTTCCATGAGATAAAAAAAAGTTGAAAAACATTGACCTGGAGGATCCCTTTTCTTCAAACCATATTTAATCATTGATCTGAGAAAACGGTTGTATATAACTGACGATTTAGACGTTTTTTTTTTAATGACTTGGACGTCATGCATGACATACACATTAGAGTCTAAGTCGAACGAGGCTATTTAAGAGCATGACTTGAGTTTTCATGTCAATGTTTTGACCGTGTAACATTTGACGGTAGTCGACAAAAGCCTCCCTAGTGTAACCTGTT